ATATGACCTTTAGTAAGACCTCATTAGTTGATATTAGGATTTTACCTTATCCCTTGCTAGTCACTCTCCCAAATGGCTATGGAGTCAAGGTGACAGAAATCGGTAGTGTGTACCTCGCCCCCCATTATTACTCTACACAAAGTCATGTTTGTTCCCTCTTTCAAGTTTAATCTCATTTCCATATCCTTTTTGACTGCACAGCTTAAATCCTTGATAGCCTTTATTGACACATACTATCTAATGTAGGCCCCTTCAATGAAGAGGCTTTCTGGAGATTGGTAAGATCAGGGATGAGTTGTATCTCTTGTGCTTCCTCTGTTTGAAGAGTGCTAGTACTGGTTCTGCATCTGTTTCTTCTTTTCCTGTTTCATGTCATGCTTGTGATGTACATAGTTTGCAAAAACCTTCATCTAGTGTTTGTGATCACAGTACTTCACAAAGGCATTCAAGTGTAAATAGTTCCATTCGCAATAAAACACCTGACTGCGATTCTTCCTTATCTCATAAGAGTGATGTTAATGTGTTGTGGCATAATAGATTAGGCCATGTTCTTTTTGCAAAGGTGAGAAATATCACCACTATCCCTGTTGCCTTTTCTAATAAGCAGCCTTTTCTATGTTCTATATGCCCCATGGCCAGACAGACTAGACTACCCTTTGCTGATAAAACCAGCAGCACCAAACAAATCTTTGATCTTTTACATGTTGATCTATGGGGACCCTATCATGTCCCCACACGTGACAATTACTAGTACTTCTTAACCATGGTAGATGATCATAGTAGGTCCACATGAACTCATCTTTTGTCTAGCAAGAGCAATGCTCTACAGATTCTTAAAGACTTCATCTCTTTTGTCAAAACCCAATTTCACTTGACCATTAAGTCAATAAGATTAGATAATGGTTTAGAGTTCACCGGTACTGAAGCAAACTCTTTCTTTCAGACCCAAGGCATTGTTCATCAGAGAACTTGCCCATACATACCACAACAAAATGGTGTGGTTGACAGAAAACATAGATACCTTCTTGAGACAGCCAGGGCACTTTTATTTCAATCAAAATTACCTACAAAATACTGGGGTGAGTGCATCCTAACAGCTACCTACCTTACTAACAGACTCCCTACCACATACCTCAAGAACAAATGCCCTTTTGAACTCCTATACAAAAAGAAACCAAATTATTCCCATTTGAGAATAATTTTGGAAGCAAACTCTTTCTTTCATACCCAAGGCATTGTTCATCAGAGAACTTACTCATACACACCACAACAAAATGGCGTGGTTGAGAGAAAATATAGATACCTTCTTGAGAAAGCCAGGGCACTTTATTTCAATCAAAGTTACCTATAAAATACTGGGGTCGGTGCGTCTTAACAGCTACCTACCTTTTTAACAAACTCCCTACCACATACCTCAAGAACAAATGACCTTTTGAACTCCTATACAAAAAGAAACCAAATTATTCCCATTTTTTCACAATCACACTCTCATTCTCCTGAAATCCACCCACAAAATCTATTTGACCCCATTTCACAAAGTGATTCTCCTGTCTTAGAGCCCAGAAGGTCTGGTAGGGAACACAAATTACATGCACACCTGCAGGACTACGTCTATTCAATACCTTAGTCGAAGCCAGCTTCTATTTATCTGCCCACTGATCCATCAGCCACTCCAACTTCCCTTGATGCCTTATTCTCCTTAAATAGCCATACTGATTCTTTAATCCATGATAATCAGTTGTTTGTTATGAATGTCTGCAATGATTCTGAACCATCTTCATATCAGGAAGCTGCTCTCAATCCTGCCTCGCAAGCAGCAATGACACAGGAGTTTGAAGCTCTTCATGCAAACCATACTTGGGATATAATGCCCTTACCAAGTGGGAAGTAGGCAATTGGTTGCGTAAGGGTATACAAAATCAAACACAAAGCTGATGGAACACTAGAGAGGTTCAAAGCTAGGCTGGTAGTAAAAGGGTACACCCAGCAGCCTGGCATAGATTATATAGAAACCTTCAATCCTGTGGTGAAAATGACAACAGTAAGAGCTCTTATAGCTACTGCAGTAAAGAAGTAGTGGCACATTTTCAGTTGGATGTGAACAATGCATTCCTTCATGGAGACTTGCATGAGGAAGTCTATATGAAAATTCCACCGGGACTGGAAATCAGCTCTCCAGGTTTAGCGTGTAAGTTGAACAAATCCTTATATGGCCTTAAACAGGCAAGAAGGCAGTGGTACTCTAAGTTGACTGAGGCCCTTTGCCCAAAGGGTTATGTATATTCTCTCAATGACTACTCACTTTTCTACAAGAAAACAGAATAATCTACCATTTATATAGTAGTATATGTAGATGATGTTATCATCACTGGGACAGATCTTTCAGAAATTACTCATGTCAAATGCTTCCTACATGATCAATTTAAGATAAAAGACCTGGGAAAGCTGCATTATTTTCTTGGTTTAGAAGTTCTTTACACAACCGATGGAGTGTTAATATCTCAAAAGAAATTTGCACTAGACTTACTCAAGGAATATGATTGTCTTTCTTATAGCAGTCTATCTACTCCCCTTGATCCAAATGAAAAGCTAAGAGCCAAGGAAGGAGAAGAATTGCCAGATCCTACCTACTATAGGAAGTTGGTAGGGAAATTAAATGTCCTCACCAATACCAGACTGGACATAGCCTTCAGTGTACAGCACCTCAGCCAGTTCATGCAAGACCCCAGGGAGCCACATTTGAAAGCAGCTTTCCACTTACTTAGGTATCTAAAGAGTGATCCAACTCAGGGAATTTTTCTATCTAATGATTCTGATTGCAGCTTGAAGGGCTATTGTGAATCAAACTGGGATGCTTGTCCAGATTCTAGAAGGTCAGTTACTGGCTACATAGTCCTACTGGGCAATAGTCCAATCTGTTGGAAGTCCAAGAAACAAGAAACATTGTCCCTATCTTCAGTAGAAGCAGAATATAGATCCTTAAGAAAAGTTGTTGGTGAACTAACTTGGCTATGCAGACTATTTGATGAACTCACTATTCCCTATTCTAAGCCTGTTTCAGTGTTTTGTGACTGTCTCTACCTTATATATAGCTCGTAATCCTGTTTTCCATGAACGAACCAAGCATATCGGAGTCGATTGCCATTTTGTGCGAGATAAGCTCCAAGAAAAATTAATTTCTCTCCATCATATTGGTACTGGTGCTCAGCTAGCAGATGTACTGGTGTCAAGCATTCTGCGATATTGAGCAAGTTGAGCGTGAAGATTTCACCTCCAACTTGAGGGTGGGGGGGGGGGGGGGGGTAGGGGTATTGAGATAACATTGTATTTATTTTTCTTTCTCTGTATTCTTTGTTAGAGTTTAGCTAGCTAGCTTAGTTTGTTAATCAGTTAGTTAGCAGTTAACTGTAGCTAAGCTGTCAAGATAGTTAAAGTTAGTTAGTGGAGTAGTACCCACGTGTATATATGTTCTATTGGATATCAGAAATACACAGTTTTCATTCTCCCATATCTGAGAATCAAGTCTCCTTTCTCCTCAGCTCATGCGAAGCTTCTAGAGCTCATCAATGGAGTCTCTAGTCAAGAGTGAAATTCGATGTTTCAAATTCACAAATTGACAGTTGGTAAGGTTTAATTATCTGATTGTTCTAGGCTGCCCATAAAGCACAACATTCACATTCGCCATGTATAAATCAAACAAGAAACGAGAAGAAGATACAATAGGAGCCACAAACCGAAGCGTGACATTGTTTTGTGATCTGGTGGAGATTGGCGGAGCCATATTCAACCAAGGGGTGTCGTTTGACACTCCTTCGCCAGAAAATTACACTATATATATTGCTAGATATTTTTTTTATGTTTATTTACTATACGTTTTATTAGGATCGGGAATCTGGATAGTGCGAAATCTAGCCAAAGAAAGTTATAATGACAATAAGAAAGACAATGCAAGTTGATAATAATGGCAATTAAAGCATATAAGAGACACAAAATTTAACGTGGTTCGGTCGAGGTGACCTACGTCCACAAACGGAGAGGAGCAACTTCACTATAATACCGGTACACAAAAGAGAGTACAAAATTAGAGATGAAACTCTAATTATCCCAAAATATATCCCAGGAGAATAACCTCGCTACAATCACTGACAAAGAAAAGGTTCACTCAAAGTGTTTCCCAACACTAACTCTATGGAATATAACAAAACTCTCTATTACAAGAATACTCAAAATGAGTTTCTAATCAAAATATGGGATAATTCAGATGAAGTAAGATGGCCTATATTTATAGAGTAGAGTTCTTGGTCCCCAAGTAAAGAAAAAAGAATAAAAGAAAATACTTTTATTCTTTGGCTCCAAGTTTGAATACTTCGGCTCCAAGTTGCTATGGATAATTTAGGCCATATCTTACACGTTTCGATATATCTAATTTTTTACATTTTGACACCCTTGATGAAAATCATGGCTCCGCCCCTCACCGGAGATACTAAAGTTGATTCCTTTTCCTGTTCCTCAAACTACAAAACAAGCATATGAAAGCGAACAAATACCTAATTGTACTAAACTATTTTTCTTCTCTCTTTTCTACTGAATCCCAAACAATAATAGGATAATGATGTGCACGAATTTGATACCAGCAACGCCTTATTCTTTAATAAAAGCATCTAGCTAATCCCTCTATTTCTGCAGAATCATTCTTCAATTCCTCCTTTTGCACCAGCCAATCCATCAAGATGTCTAATTCTAGTGTCAACCAATTTTGCTCAAACTCACCAAAATCGTTGCCGCACCCGTGTCAGATCCTTACAAAATGCACTACTTTTGGAGGATCCGACACGCACCCTAAATCACTTTTGAAGAGTTCGAGCAACATAGGTGTCAACTCTGGTAAGCCATTTCACATATTATTTCTCCCTAGTGGTTTGGGAGTGGGTCAAATGGTTCCATTTTTTCGACTAGCTTCCATGTTAGCTTCACAGAAATGTAAAATCACCTTCATAACCATGAAACTTGAAATCTCTACTACAGAGTCGAGCATCATCTCCAACTTTTTCTCCAATTACCCTGAAATCAAGCAACTAGATTTTCATATTCTTCCTTTGAATACTTCAACTTCCAACATTAGTGATCCTTTCATCAGACAAATTGATGCCATTAGTAACTCACTTCACCAGCTCGGCCCTCTGATATATTCTTTGAATGAACCAGTTTCTGCAATTGTCTCCGACTTTATTATTGCATCTAGTCTTTCACAAGTTTCTACAAATCTGAACATTTCTCTTTACATTATCTCAACAACATCAGCTAAATTTTACACTACTGTAGCTTACCTTCCAGTACTGTTGTCCGACAATCCTGCTGCATTTAAAAACCTTTCGAGCAGTCTCAAGATCCCAGGTTTAGGATCGGTTCCAAAATCAAGTGTCCCTTGTTCATGGCTGGATGATTCACCATCAAACTATGTCTTGAAAGCCTACTTGCTGCCAAATGCTCGAGCTCTCCCTCAAGTGACCGGTGTATTTCTGAACACCTTTGACTGGTTTGAACCAGAAACAATTGCTGCCCTCGATGAAGGAAGAGTAACAAGTGCTCTTCCACTTGTTTTACCTGTTGGTCCTGTGGGAAATAACAAGCTAGGAGAAGACAATCAGTGTCCATGGTTTGCTGAACAACCTGCTGAATCGGTTGTTTATGTTAACTTTGGAACTACAGAGCCGATTTCTTCACAACAATTAAGAGAAATAAAAAAAGGACTAGAGATATGCGGATATAAGTTTCTATGGGTGCTAAAAGAAGAGCTTCTGGAGTTGTTTGGAAGTACACTCCTGGAGGAGATGGAAAAGAAAGGGAAAATAGTGAAAGCAGGGGAGTATGAGGAAGCCATTATAGAACATCCAGCCATTGGACTTTTCGTGAACCAGTGCGAATGGGATTCAGTGATGAATGCAGCTTGGTCAGGAGTACCAATGCTGGCATGGCCACAACATGGTGATCAAAAGTTGAATGCAGAAGTTGTAGAGAAGGCTGGATTGGGGAGGTGGGTAAAAGAATGGGGTTGGGGCGAGGAAAATCTAGTAAACGGTGAGGAGATTGCAGAGAAGGTGAAAAACTTTATGGGAGATGTTGAAATGAAGGTTAAGGCTATGAAAGTGAGGGATCAGGCCAGAAAGGCCAAGGAAATCGGAGGGAGCTCCGAGAAGAGGCTCAGGAAATTCATCGAAATGTTAAAAGCAGAAGAAAAATGATGTATACCTTATTGTAAATGGAACTTGTATGTTGTTAAAGTCAAAATATTCATAGGATTTGACAGACCACAACAAATTGTCAAAACAAAATAAATCTTATCCAGTTACCTCAAAACGTTAAAGAAGGAAAGCGAAATATGGACAGGGATTCTGGAGATAGTTTTGGAAGGAAAAATGGTGAGGAAACACCTTAGGGCATTCAGAGAGCATAATAAAAAAACTACAGAAAATACAATTAGAAGAGAACACACAAAGAAAGCAAAAGATTTGTAGAATTATTCGCCCTTTGGCATAAATTCAAATGTTCCCATATGACTAAAACTGCACGGAACTACCATTTAGTTAGATAGTGTTCTTTGAAATAACATCAAAAGATATTCCATTCTGTTGAAGCCTGTCTTGGAGGTCTGTCGCACCAAAAACAATCCCAGGGGGGTAAACACCTCCCTTTGGAAGATTATTACGTTCCTTGAGCAAAATAAGGGCACACTGGACAAGAATGATAGGAGTTGTCAAATAACCAATCTCAGGTCCCATTACTCTTGTAATTATCTCCGCATCGGGTTTCCTGTTTCCTTGTGATGCAAGACTGTCGTCACTAAATCCGTGTCCGACGAACCACATCTTAAAGGTAGCACTTGCCACTTCATCTTCAGTTGGACCTTTTTTCCTGAACCATCCAAGACTGAACAATGAAGGGAATTTCAAGAGCAGCCATCTGCCGATACCAGTTTTACCGAAGAGACCAATGAAAACCCCAACGGTAATGAAACGAATAACTCCTAACAGAGATTTCGAAGCTATCTTCACACCAAAGTGAGCTGGCTTTATGGTTGACCAAAAAGCCTCCCTCCTCTCAATCTGTTCAGTGCTTTCATTGACACCAGGTAAACCACCAGGATTTTCAGCCAAACATGAAAGTGTTCTCCGCACTACAATTGCATCTGCTGATGGTAACTTTACAGCCCAAACACCAACTTCCTTTAGGTGGTCCAGCAATGGACCTTTAGGAGGACGAGGACCAGGAATCTGAGACAAACAGGAAAATATTGGAGAGTGAGAGAGAGATAAAATGTTTCGCAATGTGTTATTTAACAGGGAAGGCATGAATGATGTTGTCCCCATAGCTGCACGGTACATACGTATGGCCATGTGCAATATAATATTTAGCAAATATTGCAGGTATCAAATATATAGAGTCCATTTAACAATGAATATCTATTACATACTCATTCATGTCATATACATCGATCATAAGGTGTATGAATCCCCATCATCTACTCATTCATGCCACCAGAAATCAACCATAAGATTTATGAATCCCCATCATTCAAATATTTATGCTATCCATCATAAGGTTTATGAATCCTTACCTCATCAACATCATCAAATATTGACTACAACATGCGTACTACAGAAACAGTTAAATTGGGTTCTCACGGTTCCAAATGTAAAATACATTTGTATAACATTCTGCAAATGAGGAAAATCACCTAAATGTAATTGACTTTGGATTTTGACTAAAATTCACATGCTCGAACACATAATGACCAATTGACTTCTAAACTGTAAAGGATCAATTGCTTCTTAACCTGCAGCATTTCTCTCTTGGAACAAAAGAATAGTGAAGATAGAAAGTTATGCAACGATTTGACATATGTTGTTGTTTCAAGCCTTCCCAGGGCAGAGCATATAATAGTTTCTAGGTCTCTGCATTATTTCCACTGCATTCAGATCTAATTCCACTAGTTTTTCTCATTATTCATGAAATCTTTTGAAAGACAAAATCATTTCTCAAATTAGCATCCTCTCTACAGCCTATGTACCATCACTCCCTGCCACCTAATCGGCCCACCACAAGACTAGATAGTAGTGCTGCATCAAATAGTTGTTGGCTGTGGCAAGTATACTGATGGAACTATTTGTTGTAATGTTTATCCGTGCGTGCCTCAATACAGAAAAGAAAATAGAAACGAAAAGACGAAGCATGAAACTAGAGATTGTGGCAGTAGTCACATTTTAATACCACCTACAGATTACAATCCAGCTGTTTTTGGGTCATAAGAACAGATAATAATCTACAATCCAAATTTCTTTTTTATATAAGGTAATCTACTATCCAACTTTATAAGTATTAATCAATCGTCCCATGATACAAGATTTATGTGTCAACTGGTTAAAGTCAAAGAGGGATTATTGCCTGCTAAAAACACACTTGCAGTACATCTGTTTCCATTTCTTTTGATTTATGCTATCTAGTCAACCATATAAATTTACCTAAAATTTCCCCCACAAAGAATGCAGAAGTTGCCAGAAACCCTGAATTATGGCGAGCCAGATCTAAGATTATGATTAACACATAAATGTTGTATATTTTCTCCACATGAGTAGTGTAAGGGCTTTAAAAAAGGGGTTCACACAAATCTTGAGCTACTCCACCCATAGCATTAAGGTTTTGTGTTGGATGCTCAAATTCTTTCGCATGGTATCGAGTCAAGATTTGGTAAGCGCATTCACGTGCTCATAATCCCGCGTTCTAGTTCACAAAGAGGGTGTAAAGTCATATTTGTCCTACATGAGCACTGTACTTTTTAAAAAGTTCATAAAAGTCTAGGACTACTGCACGCATAGTCTTAAAGGTTTTTTGGGTTGGATGCATATATTCTTTCCTATCAACTTCACTAATAATTTGTAAAGATCTTCATACATATTGGTTCACATTTGACGCTAGTGTATCAGTCATGTTATATTGTTGACTAACAAGACCTTTCAATTTTCTATTACTATAATGCTTAGAAGTTCCAGGTGGTTAAATAAACTAAAATTTTACGTCTCTAACTGGATAACTAGCACTGATGACCTCATTACATTGGATATTTTAGTAAGCAAATGAAATCATAAAATCTTACCACAGGACGAGGCCTCTTGGGCCTGGAGCGCCTGAGCTCCTGTAATTTATCCGCGTTAGCCACACCAAGCACCGCTGACTCATACGTTGCGAAGTTTCCAACAATTCTCTTGTCTGATTCCAGACTAAGGTACGCCTCAACCTGATTAGGAACAGCCGGCGGCAGCCACTGTCTCGAATTGAACATCAAGCCCAATTCAGCAGGCACAGAATCAAACCCACAAGCCGAAACAATCAACGATCCCATATCCACAGCCTTATCATGGTACTTCACTTCCATCCTCTCCATAAACTCGGGCTCCCCACAAATATCCAAGTAATCGCAACCCGAATCAGCACATGCCTCAACGACAGGCTCGCCGTAAAGACGAAACGGGCCGACACAATTAAGAATGATCTTAGCCTGAGAAGCGAGGTGGCGGAGAGAAGATGGGTCGGTGGTGTCGGCGGTGAGGATTGGAATTTGGGGTGGTGGGTTTGGACGGGCGGCCCATTGGAGAGCCTGGGAAAGTTTGGAACTGTTACGGCCCGCTATAGCTAAGCTTTTTAAGGGGGAAGATGGAACGTTGAGGAATTTGAGAGCTTCTCTAATGACGTATTTGCCTGTAAAACCTGAGGCTCCTAAGATTATCACGTCGTAAGTCGGGGTTGGACTGACATTTTGAGACATTTTCCGATCGGAAATCAAATACTAGCTGGACAGTGTGATTCGTTTTCGCCTTTGGGTTGCTGTTCACAGGGGAAAAAGAGAGGGGACTTTTGAGAGGAATAGAGAGGGGACTAGAAATGCGTGCCTAACTGCCAAGATCCCGTGATTCTCTTTCCTGGGAATGGTAGTTTCTGAGTGAAAACGTCTCTAAATTTGTTTTTCTGGGCTGCATAACCCGAACATGGTTCTATGGTGTAGTGGTTAGCACTCTGGACTTTGAATCCAGCGACCTGGGTTCGACTCCCGGTAGGACCTTTTTCATTTTTCTTTTATTTCCCTCCCTCTTTGTTCATTGTTCCTTTATCTTTACCTGTTCATTTTGCTCCAAAAGCGCACTTGAATACGTCCAATGTTAACCTATCTGATCAAATTTTTTAGAATTAATTGAATTGAACAATTTCTTCCCCCCCCCCCCCGAACAATTGCTATTTGCATTGGATTCTTCTCAACATACTACTTTGTTGTTTCTTCGATAATACATGAGAATTGATCATCATAACGCACTAATGAACTACATGAGGTAAAGCAAACGCGAACTAATCAAAGACCATTTGAGCTCTTGCTTTTGCGAAAGATCCAATAACCTAAAAAAAAAAAAAAATTATATCAGAAAACGAAAAGAAAGACGTTTCGTTGCAATTACCAAAGCCTGGAAGAAATTTGTAGAGGAAGAGATAATTTTTTTTCTTCAATAAATGCATAGGTGGATTAGGCAAAAACACGGCGTCGGCCTAGCTTACTGTCTTTATAAAGAATTCAATGCAACGTAATTTGCATGTAAAAGAGTAGAAGTCGTACAATATTAGAGAAAATGCTACTATACTTAGGGGTGGATCTAGGTCTTTTATTGATTCACCTGAATTCACTTGCAGAAATCTTCTATATATGTTAAGAAATCAGCTAAATATTTATAAGTCGATGTAGGAACCTATAAGCTTCAAATTCTAAATCCGCCTTTGACTATGCTAGTAATGTAAGAAATCATATTTGGCTTCTTTTTTGTTTGCAGAAAAATCTACGCTTCTCTAGCGTCACATTTGTATTAATAGGGTTATTGTTAGGAGAGACATAGTTTGGGCAAACCCGAAATTCAAATCAATATCTCAATTATTTAGATTTTTGGTTTGGATTTGCGGATTACGGATTGGATTTTGAATTTAATTTTTAAAATTTTTGGATTTCGATTGGATGTTGGATTTGGTACTTTGGATCTTGGATATCCGAAAATCTAAAATTTATATACGTTATATTTAGTGAATTATCCATATACAAATAGTAATAAGTCAAATATCCTACATGTTAGATATTATCTCATATATTCAATATTAATTACTAAGTTACTGTCATAATACTTTCTATTTGGACATAATTTTACTATTGCTA